AAGGAACCCAAAATCAGGGAAGAAGAGGAACCCAAAATCAGGGAAGCAGAGGAAAATGGTGCTGGATTTGCACCTGGGTCTGGGTTTTAACAGCGGCAATCAGATATTGGGTAGAACATCTGCAGCCTTCTTCCTCAGTGGGAAGATGGATTGCTGTCGGTTTTCTTTCTTGCTGTTGGTAACTGAGAGGTGTTTGAAAAGATTTTATTCTATTATTAATCTTGATAAATACTGAGATACAAGAAATGTCAAACTCAACACCATTCTATCAGAAACTAACCCATTTCTTAGTTACAATACTTTATAAATGTTTTTCAGCTTAACTTGTAATAATACATTAACAATAACAATGCTACTATTACTACTTAACAATAGTACTATTACTGCTAACACTAATCACTTATATTTTCTCTACATAGTCTTGCTATAATGCATCTTTCACCATTCTAATTTTCTAAAATATTTAATATTTTTGTAAAACTACATTTTTAAATTATATTTCTATCTCTCAACAATATAATCTCTAGTCTATAACTTTCTTAAATCAGCACACCTTACCTCAGTATTTCCATATAAATATACAAAACTATATAAGCTTTCTATCAGATTTTAAGAATTCTTTACAAATCCATTTCTCACAAATCCAGCAGAGTCCTGTGCCCCTGCCCTGTGACACAGCCTGGATTGAATCCCCTTAATCATTCCTGGGGGCCTTTCCTGGAAAAATCCAGCTAAAACCCAGAGGCAAAACACCAGGGATCGAAATTCCTGCGTGGAATTTCCCAGTCCATGTGAAGGTGAATAAGAAAAGGGAACAAGCAGGAGCCAGGAGGATTTGGTGGTGCTGATGGCTCTCTGAGGGCTGTTTAAATAGCCCCATCCAGCTGTGGAGGTGTTGGCAGTGTCTGATTCCGAGGATGATGATGCTGCTGTGCCTCACTGAGGTGTTTTATGAGCTCTGCAGGAAGATCAGCTCATGTGGAGTGACACTGATTTGGTAGCACCCTGCTCTTGATGGAAAACCCTGTGTTTGTTCCAAGGAGGAGGAAATATTTCTCCAGCAGCCTGCAAAGCAACGTGCTCCCTCACCTCCTGGCTTTTGATACCCATCAGGAAGAGTTCACTGGCAGAGAAACAATCACCAGCAGCTCCTGGAAGTGCTCAGAAACTGCTCCAGGCAGGGTCTCAGGGGTTGGGAGTGCAGCAGAGCCCCCCTGGCTCAGCCAACTTGTCAGCATCCGAATTTCTGGCAAGAACAGCAACAAAAAGAGTAATAAAAGGGGCTGGGCAGGGGCTGTGAGGTGCAGAGACCTTGCAGCAGCTCACACTGGCTCCACGAGCACGGATTGCCATCCAGGAGGAGCCATTGATTCCCGTGACTAATGGGGGCTTTAAGGAGGAGAGCGTGCCAGATCAATATGCAACCCTCAGTACATGAATCACTGCAGCTTTCCCAATTTATTCCCCTCCAAATCCAATGGATGAACAAAAGATAAACACACAGCCGGGCTGGGGGGGAGGCCCAGGAAGGCAGGTGGGGAGGCAGAATCTCATAAGGGATAATTAACTGGCTTTTATCATTCTAACAAAGCATTAAGCCAGTAAATCTATGGAAATGGGAATGCTCCAGAGGGTCGTTACTGGCATGAAGCAGAAGCTTTCTGGAAAACTGCTTGTCTTCTCCAAGTGGCTTGGGTTGAGGAGAGGAAGGCCCTGACACTGTCCCTATATCCAGCCAGGGCAGCATCCCACATTCCCACGCCGGAGATTCCCTTTCCCATTGCCCTCTCAGAGCTCCTCCAGGCTAGAGGTGCAAAAAAAAAAAGGGTAAATTTAATTCAAAAGAGGAGAAAACTTATATATTCTCTGGGGATGAAACAAGAGAAAATGATAATTTCTTCCCTTTGGGGTGAACAGTGCCCAGCACCAGAGCTGCTTCTCATCCTGGCACAGGGAGAGACTCCCCTGAGAGGTTGTGGGTGCAGAAATCACAGGATGCCCCACATCCAGGTCCTGCAGAAACCCCTCAGCATCCTCACATTGCACCAAATGGAGAGGAAAAAGAGTGGGGCAGAAAACAATTTTTTTTTCTGACCGACAGAAATCTATCTCAAATTGAAGCAAAATGCCGATGTGTTGCCAATTTTCCCCAGATGACCAGTAGAAATGCAGTTTAGATTGGGTTATTCCTTTCCTCCAATAACTTCAGATTGTTCCATTTTGATTTGAAGCTTTAGGGTATTTTAAAGCATTCAAGTTTAAACTCCAAGTGAAAGGGTAAATTTCGACTGAGACTTTGCCAGACTTTGTGTCCTGATTGCATGAGACTGGGGTGCCTTGATCATTTCAAACCCTGTTTTTCCAACTCAGAAAATTCCTCGTGAACGCTTCCAAATCTTGAATAGTTCTGCTACAACAAATGAGCACTTTTCAGTGAAGGACAAAAATGCATCTTGGGGAAAAAATTGCCACTGTGTCTGCCTGTCAGAGGCAATCTCATGCTCAGCATTCTCCTTCCAGTTCTCTCCTGCTTCTTAATCTCCCCTCATTCCCAAATGAAACACGAGAGAGATTTGGGACAGATTTAGGGCAAATTCCCACCCTTTGCCTTAGAAACAACCTTCCCTGTCCCAGCTGAAGGCAGTGTGTTTTGGCATGGGAAGGCCACTAAAACCTTGTTGTTTTCAAAGGTTTAAATTTACATTTTAAATCCTGAATTTACAGGCATAACCTCAGGTGTGACTTCAGCCTCCACAATGAGCGCTGTACTTGTTTTTTTCGATGTTTTTCCTCATCTCCCGCCGCATCCTGAAGGATTTCCTCCTTTCTCCACAGCCTCAGTGTGCCACTTCCCTCTCAGTGTAATTCCAGCTGGGAATTCCTGTGCTGCTGGGCCAGGAAAAGGGATTTTTCCAAGGCAGGGAGATGCATGGGAGGCTGTGACAGGTCACAGGTGGCTGTGACCTGGGAAAAGCATCCCCAGCACTTGAATGGGGTGAGATCATCCCTGGCATCAGCTTTGGGGACCAAACCAGGTGGAATTCCTGTATAAAAATGCCAAGTATGGGGAAAATTCAATATTAAACAATAAAACAGAATTTTTTCCCTTCATGGGCAAAATTCCACTTCCTGCTTCTCTGGTGAGAGGAATTGTGGATTTGTCTTTACAAACAAGCTGTGGGGCTGCTGGTAAATAAAACCAGCACTGGGAGACAAACAATGGGAAGGATTCCATTGATTGATGAATGGAAAAAGATATTTGCTTTTACAAATAAATTTTGGGTTTGCTGATAAACGAAATTAGACATTGAAAGATGAAAGAAACAATGGGGGAAAATTCTGAATTCCATAAGAATTAAAAATTAAAAGGGAGGGTTATATATGAGAGGGGAAGCTTTGGTATCAGGCCTTTTGGGAAGTCTGAACCTCTCAAGTACCTCAGAAATGGGGAAAAACCCCTAAATTCTGTAAGAATTAAAAATTAAAAAGGAGGGTTGTGCATTAGAGGGGAATCTCTGGGATCAGGCATATTTAGGGAGTCTGAACCTCTCAAGTACCTCAGAAATGGGGAAAGAGAGATGGAAAATGTGGCTGGAAATTGGGATAAAAAGGAGGCTGCATCCTCCAAAAATTAGCGGATGCGCCATGGTCTCTCCCTTTATTAGAATAAAGTCAAAGGACTCCTCCATCTCTTTTTGGGACATCAGCCTCTGGTGTTTGTGGATTAATTTTCCTAGCATTGGGAATGCCGCCCTCTCTGTGCAGGAAGAGGGGCTGTTCTGCCCGTGGCAGGTTTCCATTTGGCGATGCTATCGCGGCTCTCACGGCGTGCTGGGCACGTGCCTTATCAGCCTGCCCGTGCAAAAAAGCAATATCAATTTGGTGGCGTTGAGGGCTGCAGCGAGAACAATGAGCTGTGCATTGTTAAACAAGGCAGCAGCCCCGTGCTGTACAAGTGGAACAAGTGTAATCGCTGACACAGGCTCTGAGTGTAATTACAGCTCAGCAGTGAGCACAGGAACCTTCCCTGCCTCGCCTGGGCAGGGCTGTGTTTTATAAATCCTGTCCTCAGCGAGAGGAAACGGCCTCAAATTGTGTCATGGGAGGTTCAGGTTGGGTATCATGAGGAATTTCTTCATGGAAAAGCTGCCCAAAGGGGTTTGGGAGTGTGTCACCCTGATTTTTTAAGATTTTCTAAGCCTTCTGATGTTTATGTTCTTGTAGTGAATTTTCTCACACGTTTTCTGTAAATAACTCATTGTTTTGCATTCCTTTATGGAGGAGGAGAAGTCTGATGGGCTGTTGGTTTGTGCAGTGTCATTGGAGAGGTGGCACTGTCACCCTCCAATCCGCTGTCACTTTTGGAAATCTATAAATGCTGGAGTCAGAAAATAGACTTCCCTTTTTCTTCACCTTGAGAACAGGGGTGTGAGGTTGTGTTCTTTCATGCCCTATAGTGACAGGAATGCCAGCCCCTGGAGGTGTCCAAGGAATTACAGAATGTGGGGAACAGTCACAGTGATGCTGTTGGACTCAGTGATGCTGGAGGTTTTTCCAGCCTCAGTGATTCTGTGACAACTCATGGCCTTTGAGAAAAGCCTCACTGATCCCACTGAGCAGCTACAGAACCACACTCTCACCTATCCTCAATTTTAAAACTGGGAAGGGTCATTGCTTGGATCCTCAATGACAGCACAAGGCACCCCTGAGTTCCTCCACAGCAATCCCACCACCTGACACAGAGAGGGAGCTGCCCCATCCTCCCACCTGAACACTCCTGAATTTTATTTATTTCATTTTTTTCCCAAGCAAATCCTAAAGCTCTGAAGTCTAATTGCTTCTCTTAGCAGCCAGATTCACATAATGACTACAGTGTTTTGCCACGCCGAATAGCAGCTGTGTATCAGCAATATCTCTGGAGCAAGGTCAACTGCTCTGCAATAAAACTCCATCCTGCCTTTCATATCCCATCAGCACAATCAGGGAATTGGGCTCTTCCCCGAATACCAAATGCAGCAGCAAACCCCAGAAGGAGCTTCCTGAGAGAGTGACGGCTCTGCTTGGTGAGCCAGCGCTGGATGCACATTCCTGATGCTGCTGCTGTGCCCGGTCCCTGCTCAGGGCTGTCTCCAGGTGAGGCTGCAATCCCAGCTGATCTCACAGCTGGTTAACACAGCCAGGCAGGCAGAGAGGTCACCCTGACCCAAACACACCCAGGAATTGATGGTAAAACCAATTTCCCCACAGCTTTTCACCCTGATCTCCCAAAATCCCCCTCCATCATCTCCCCCACCCAAGCCTGCCAAACCAATCCCTCCTCATGTCTGCACTTTATTTTGTTCCTGCTTTCATCCCTCTTAAAAAACAAAGAAATAACAGGGTAAAAAACCCCACTTCAACAGGTTTTCCTTCCCTCCTCCCCATTCTTAAACAGATAGTCATAAACCCCGTGCCTGTTTTCCCATGGCTAATTAGCAGTGCAGATAATAAGCTGGTTTCATGGAGTTAGCATGCATCAGCGTCTCTGCTAACTGGGTTAATTACACAGTGGATGGGCATTTGTTAAAGGGAGGATGGTGAGGATGGGTCTCTTTTTCCCAGCAGGGCTCAGGAACCTGCAGCATTTTCCAGGCAGCGCCACCAGATTTCGCAATAATTCTGATTTTTGCAATAATTTTGATTTTCCAATTTTTTTTCCCAAGTTCAGCTCGACCAGCAGCGTTGCTGTGTTCCCAGCCCTGGGTGTCCCAGGTGTTTCACACCAGGGACAATTTCTCTGTCCCAGATGCCCTTTTCTCCCAAAAACTGTTAAATTTTTGGCCAGTGAAGGGCTCTGAGCATCCAACACCTTGAATCCTCCATGCCTCAAGAACAAATATACAAATGAATTGTAGACACCAAAAAAAGGTGAATTCAAGGCCAGCCTTCAAGGGGTTAAGAGCAACATGTCTGCTGGCAGAGCAGAGAAGGGAGAGATGAATTCTCAGGCTCAAGAGCAATTTCAGAATCCACTCAAGCTTCGTGCCACTCTGTGAAATCTCAGTGCACCTCAACTCAGATCAGAAATTGGTTTACATTCCCTTCTTTGCGTTTATGCGTTTGCAAGACCTGATTTATTTTAGTCCATTGTTACTCTAGGAAATTATAGCAAAGGCACCTGTTGGGAGGAGAGCTGGGCTTCGTTATAAAGTTGCTTAAACAAAGTCACTGCTATCAGGAAAGCTGGATCAGAGACTATTTTATTTTTATTGCACTGCAAGGAGATACCTTGGCAGCTGATGGGGGAGAGTAGAGTTGTGGTCAGATGCAGTCAGTAGAAAAATTACTTTTCACTTCTCAGAGGACACAATTTCACCTGGAGGGTTTCATTTCTTTCTCCGTTCCACACTTGCACAGTGCCTGTGATGCCTCTTTTGCTCTCGCTGCTGGAGAAAAGACACCTGGCTGGGTGTGCCCCTCTCAAAAAAATCTTATTTTAACCATAATGAATGTGAAAGGTTTTGGCCTTCCTGTAGAGCCAGGCCCTGCTTCTCCCTCTGGAAGGCTGAAGGACCCTCCTGTTCTGCTGTGACCCCTGAGCTCCTGCTGAAAATAGAATATTTCACTTCACCCTTCATTCTCCCCAATTCCAACCCCTTGGCCTCCTCTCTGCTCCCTCCTTCCCAAATATTTTTCCCATGTTTTACTCCACCAAGGAGTTCACAGGTAAAACCCAATTGTGGAACAATTTGAAAGCAATTTTGCAGCTGCCTTGTGATCAGAGGCAAAGCAAGGAGATTCCTTGGCAGCAGAGGCAAAGCTCCTATCAGGGATGTTCACTTTGGAGAAATAATCATCTCTGCTCATAGAGAGAGAGAACAACTGGGGGAAAATACTCAGCACTGCCCAGATGGCCTGCCTGCATTTCTGAGGTGCCACCCAATAGTCCTGGCTGTGGTTTTTGCCCAGGAGACCTGGAGAAGGTTTTTCCTGAAGGAACAGAGGCTGGAATCTCCCCCAGGCACAGGTGGATCCTGCATTCCTTCACCCAACAGCTCCTCTGACACCCCAGCAGCTCCACTCAGCTGATCTCAGGGGTGGCTTTGCACCAGAAGGGAGGGAATCAGGGAATAACAGCTTTCCACACATCCATTGCTGTGATTCATGGCTCACTGGTTGATATAAAAGAGATGGAGAGCCACTTCTCACACAGGCAGGCGGTGATAGGACAAGGGGGAGCAGTTTTAATCCAGAAAAGGAGAGATTTACATTGAATTTTGGGATGAAATTCTTCCCTGGTTAGGTGCTGAGGGTCTGGCACAGGTTACCCAGAGAAGCTGTGGCTGCCCCTGGGTCCCTGGGAGTGCCCAAGGCCAGGTTTTCATCCTGGGATTCTGTGATTTCCTCAGTTATTCTTAATAATTAATCAGAATCTCTGAGCCCTCTGGGGAAGGACTGTGTTTGCACAGCACATTTCTCTGCTCTCAGCTGGCTTTAGTCGGCACCACAATGAACTGAATCCTTAAAAACTGCCCTGACATATTAAAAAACTCTTCTTTGAAAGCAGAGTGAAAAATAACACTCTCCTCCACAGAGCTAAACCCAAATGCAGGCACTTTTAAAACTTCCTTTATAACTTTCTGATCCAGATCTGAAAATTGGCTGTCAGATCAAGCCAACAAATCGCAGCTCTGCCCTTCCTCCCTTAATTCCACGCCAGGAGCTGCAGGAGGAATGAATAAACAGCTCTTGCCTTCAAACCCTGCACCTTTCCCTCCACAGATAATCACACACACTCTTGATTTAATAGCTGATTCCAGAGGAGATTAAAGCTGAAAGGAACAGGCCACATATGAGGAGGTTTTATCTGGAGGTGGGAGATTTCCGAGGCAGCCACACAGGCTGGAGGAGTGGACAAAGTTCCCTCTGTCACCTGAAAAAATGAAGCTTCTTTAAGGAATTCTGGCTCAAAACCTTGGGGGTTTTAAGCCTTGCTGGGGCAGCGTGTGACATTCTGGGGCAGTGCGTGACACCCTGCCAGCCTCAAAGCCCTTTACCAAGAGTCATCTTCAGACAGGGAAATTATTCAGATTCATTCCTCACTTCTTATTCAGGGAAAAAATCCCGATTTAAGGATTCCTGACCCTTGGCTGGTGAATGAGGCATGAGTGAAAGCAGTAGCACTGTGGCTGGGTACCCCTGATCCTCTTGTTGGGTCAAACAGGTTCTGCAGCTCTTTGAGGCTCCAAATCCCCAGAAATAAATCCTCCTAAAGAGTTCAGCTATGCCCAAGCTGGCTCTCCAAGTGCCCAGCCCCGAGCTCTGAGCTGTAATACAGAGAAGACAAACCGTGCACCCATTAGCACCACATCAATATCATTTAAAGCCCCGTTCTGAGGAGGGCCTGGCAGCCTCCTTAATGCATTTCATTTCCCTGTGTCTCTGAGTGGACATAAATAATTGTGCAGTGCTGGCCCTGCCCACTCCATCCTCCCAGCCAGAAGGATTATCTCTTGTTCTTTCCCCAGATTTGGCTCCAGGATGCAAACACCATTTATGGCCACCGATTGTTCAAAAGGCCAAGTGTATAATGTACCATAAAATGAGATTTTAATACTCAGTGGGAGATGTGAGCAGCTCTGCTTTGTCACAGCGGCCTCTGCTCCCACACTTGAGTGATCCCCAGCTCTTGGAGCTTCCCACTGGGCTCAGGAGAACCTGGAGTGAGGAGAGCGCTGATCCAGCATGGCCTTGATGATTCTGTTTTCTGCTGTTGTTTTCACCGCTTTGCCCTCAGATTTTTGCCTTGCAAGGGCTGCCCTTGATCCCAACCCTAGCTCAGACTGGCAGGAACTCTCTGTGCACAGGACAGGCCATGAAATGAGGGAAATTTGCACAAATAGGGACGGCAGGCTCAGCTCTGGGTTGTTTCTCCCACAAAGCCAAGCTCAAGGATCAGTTTTATCCTCCCAAAGATGGGGAACCAGCAAAGCTGGGCCTGGGGAGCAGGCTGCAAGCAGAGAAGAGGAAAATCTATCATGAATTAATCACAATAGGGCATCTTTCCTCAGCCTCCTATAAAACTCCAGCGTGATAATTTAGTGGTGAGAATATCCTCTAATGAGCTTCGAGGAAACTGCAGTTGTCTTAATGGGCTCCTTAATGAAGAATCATTTAGGATTTTATTAACACTGAGGAAAAACACATGGTGTTTGGTAGCTGTTTGGAGCTGGGTGAACATGAATAATTGCTTCAAATGCTCAAACACAAGTGCTCTAACGGGCCCCTCTTTGGTGCTTGAAGGATATCACAGCTTGGGTCTTTGTGAGGAGTATCCAGAAAGGAGATTTTATGTTGGTTGCTGGAGCAGAATTTCCAGTGCTGTGGCAAGTGCCATGGTGCCATATGGATCCCAGATGTTCTCACAAGTGAAGAGAGAGTGAAGAGCCAGTGGAAACCTCCAGTGGGACTCAGCTTTGAATCTCATCCTGGGTTTGCTCCAGGTCCATCCAGAGAGCAGTGCTTGCCAAGTGACCCAGCTTTTCATTTTGCTCCTGTGTTGTCTTTTATTTTAAGTCCTGACACCACTCAAACTTCAAGCCAGGTCCTGATGCACCAGCTGAGGTGGAGCAGGAGAGCTGGGAGAGGAGAAATTGTCATTTCCCACCACAATTACCCAATTAATGGGCAATTTGTTCTGTGGGCATCACATGTCAGCAGCTTGAGTGAGTAAAGCCAAGAGCTCCATGCTCTGCAGCCCTTCTGTGTGGGATTTGCTCAGTGCAGAAAGGCTGAGCTTGCCTGTAAACCCCAGCTCCAAATGCCAGCAGCTCGTGGGAAATGTTTCTTTCTAGTCCTGAGAATGCTTCAGATGGATATTTTTCCCTCTGGTCTTTTGTGCTGGGGCTTTTGTGCGCGGGGGTCTTGTGCGAGGCGCAATGTTGTTCTGAGATGGAATAAAAGGTTATTTCTCCTTTTCCTAGGCCTAGGTTTGCTGGGGGAACTTTTCTCCCAACTTTCTCTGATCATTGTTTCTTTCTAGTTTTGAGAATGTTTTCGGATTAAGATAATTCCACCTAGGCAGTTGTGATTGGGCAATTATGCAACCAGGAATCCTGCAAGAAGCAGAAGTGGTGATAAAACAGGGAATAAAA